AAAAAAAAAAAAAAGACTAGCTAGTGTTCTACCACTTGAGCCAAGTACCACTTCTGGTTTTCTGGTGGTTAATTGGAGATAAGAGTCTCAAGGACTTTCCTCCCCAGGCTTTGAACTCTGATCCTCAAATCTCAGCCCCCTGAGTAGCTAGGATTATAGGTATGAGCCACCAACTCCAGGCTATAATGGGGATTCTTAATAATGACAGCAAAATTCTAGAGACAGGAGGAGCTCAATGCATATCTCCTGCCATTAGTACTCTCTCATAGTTACTAGTTGACCTGCCTCAAAATCCTCATAGATTTCCCGTGTGTGTGTGTGTGTGTGTGTGTGTGTTACTTAGCAATACTGACATTTTTGCTTTATTTTTAACTGCAATACATTTTGGATCAGAAGGTATCTTTAAGATAATCTCACCTGTTTTCATCTTTTATTGAATATAAAAACAACTCCCAAACATAAAGGTTTTAAATAATTTCTTATTCATTAGTTTATGACTCTGAGAAACAGCTACTTGGGCTGGCTTCCGCTGGATGATTGCTTGGAACCTTGCATGTGGCTCCAGTCATCTGGGGGGTAAATTGGGATCCGATGGCATAAATGGCTTCTCTCAGTACAGACATTCTCCTTCTCCCCTCTTCCTCTCCCTCTCGCTCTCCCCCTTCCTCTCTCCCTTCCAACCATCTCTGTCCCCCTCCAAAACAGAGTCTAAGTTTATACAGTGTTTCAAGATTTTAAGAGGAAGAAGAGCTGCCTCTTAGAAGACCTTCAAGATCTCTTGAGGCCTGGCTTCAGAAGTCTCACAGTTTCACTCTATTCTGTTAGCATAAGCCAGCACAAACCCAGATTCTGGAGAGCAATGGAAGGGACATTTCCTCTTGTTGGAAGGAGACGCAGGTCACATTGTAAATTGAAGACAGGGGGTGTATACACCTTCTTTGCAAACAGTCTACCAGATTGTCCAGACCTCTAGCAAATGAGAAAAGTAAATCCAAGCAAGTGAACTATTCGGCCACAATGTCTGTATAGAAGCTAACCCTAGTTTTATGGTTTTCCTACGATCTAGTAGTCAATTTGGAATGGCCAGAAACAGGGAGCAGGGAGTTAGGACCAAGAACTGAGAGATAAAAGAGACAACTAGCATTTATGCTTAGTGCATAGTTAGTCATGGAAGTATGGGGCGGGGGGGGGGGGGGGGGGGGAATGGGGAGAGGTTGGCTCAGAATAAAGATAAACAAGGAAAGGTGACTAGTAAAGGTTAATGGGGCGCAATCAGGGAAGACACACCAGAGGAAGGGAGAGATGGCATTCATGGCTCAAGGCAGGGAAATAAAGAAAAACTAAACCCAACTCAGGGTAGGGAGTGGCATGTAGAAGAGGTGTTAGAACCAAGTCCTAAACCACACAGGGCGGAAAAGACTCATGAGTACTGCAGGCCAGACCCAGCAAGAAAAGGCCTAACTTAATATAGTGCAGTTGATCAGCCTGAGGGAGAAACAAATTAGAGCTGTAGACAAGAGTCCCTTGTGATAGGCTGAGTCAAGCTGGACTAATTAAGCAGACAATCTGTGCACTAGTCATTTGCCTAAATGCGTGCCATTTGCAACCCCAAGGCTCTTCTCATTGGCTGAGTTGGACTACGCATGCTAATTGGGTGGCACACAACGAGGAAGAGCCTTGTGCAGGCCAGTTTTTTTGTTTTTTTAAATCTCAACAGACCTCTTACTTCTAAACAAATCCTACTGGTTGTAAAAATAGACGGAGCTACTGGAGATAAAAATACTACTCTCTGGTTTCACATACCACTGATGGTCAGAATTTTCCCTTCTTACTTTTCTTACTTGATCTTTTATGCTTCAGGAAAATGAATGCTTCAACAGCACACTGATCTTATAATTCTGTTCTTAGCACAAGAAGCTCAGTCAACCATCATAAACTGCAAATTATTCTTGATTGGACACAGACTCTTGGGTATTTAAGGTTAAGGAAGGCAAGTTATAGGTTCCCAGAGAGATGAAACTTATGTCATTCATCATTTTCTCTTCCCAGGTTGCCCTTCCTTACTTCAAAAGCCAGAACTGTTTCCATTTTGCTTACTTAGTAACAAGAAACACAAGGCCATTTTTGATTATCTGAATCTTGACAGTTCTGGCTATTGACTACCTTTACCTACTGTCCTGACAATGATCCCCAGGGCTCCTTCTCTGGAATATTTATACTTTAAATGTTTTTTCTTTGTTTTGTTTTATTTTTTGGCTGTTTATTTATTTTTGGTGCCAGTCTTGGGGCTTGAACTCAGGGCTTGGGCACTGTCCCTGAGCTTTTTTTTTTTTTTCTTTTGGGTCCGGTCATGGGGCCTAAACTCTGGGCCTGGGTGCTGTCTCTCAGCTCTTCAGCTCAAGGCTAGCGCTCTACTACTAGAGCCACAGCGCTACTTCCGGCTTTTTTCTTTTTGCTCATGTGGTGCTGAGGAATCGAACCCAGGGCCTCAGGCATGCAAAGCAAGCGCTCTACCACTGAGCCACCTTCCTAGCCCCTCCCTGAGCTTTTTTCTTTTTTTGGGGGGGGGAGGGGAGTCCAGTCATGGGGCCTGAACTCTGGGCCTGGGCACTGTCCCTTAGCTCTTCAGCTCAAGGCTAGCGCTCTACGACTTGAGCCACAGCGCCACTTCTGGCTTTTTTCTTTTTGCTTATGTGGTGCTGAGGAATCGAACCCAGGGCCTCTGGCATGCAAGGCATGAGCTCTACCACTGAGCCACCTTCCCAGCCCCCTCCCTGAGCTTTTTTAAGGCTAGCATTCTACCACTTCAGCCATAACTCCACTTCTAGCTTTTTATTGGTTAATTGGATACAAATCTCACAGACTTTCTTTCCTGGGCTGGCTTTGAACTGTGATCCTCAGATCTCAGCCTCCTAGGATTACAGGTATGAGCCACCAGAGCCCCATTTGTTAGGATTCTTTTTTTTTTTTTTTTCAGAGAATCCATGAAGCTTCTGAAACAACAAAGATATGTTGAGAGGCAAAGACCTGGTGCTGGCTTTGCGGGGGGCGGGGGCTCACAACTAGGGAGAGGTCTGAGGATGTGGAAGTCATGTATGGGGGGAGGGGAGGCTGATGAGCTTGGTGTTAATAAGTGAGAGGCAGTTGACTAATTAGAAGTTCCTGGAGGGCTTACTTGGCCCACACTGTCAGGAAGACCTAGCAATATGGATGTAGTTTCCACCCATCAGAACGTGACTATGGCAAAAGTACCATCCGTGACAGTTCTGAAAGCTGAACGTGAGTGATTACTGCCTATTGCTTTTCAAAATGCAAGTCTGGGCAGGATGGCCTCTGGCTTCCTTCCTGAATATTTTTTATAAAACAGCAGTATCGTAGCCCCAAGCAGGAGGATGGATTATAGCCATCACAGTTCATTGCCATTAACCCCAAAATGGCTACTTTGCAGACATTTTGCTTCTCAACTTCCCAGCAATACAACGCCCCTAACACTTGTACTTTCCGGAAGACTCTGGATAAAGATCAGAGATGCTAAGCAATGTACAATACTTCCCAAAACATCAGGACTTCTCAAGTTTGGAAATCAACAACCGACCCAGCTTCTTCACTGGTTGCAGCCCTGGACGAGCCTGGTGACGATGCTCTTCAAACTCCTCCTCCTCTCTGTTTGTCTCCATCTGGGCATCTCTTATTTCCAGACATTTCTAAAGGCCTTCTAAAATAGACATGATGTATTCTGGTGAAAAAATATATATAAACCACGGTGGTGACTTAATTAACGACTTAGGGAGGGTTTTCATTTAGAAGATAAGTAGAAACGAACAGGAGAATAAAGAAGTCTGGTTTGATATCCTGCAAGTGGCATGCTCTGGAGTGCTCATGTTCACCTCAAATTCCACAGTCCCTGGAAGCCAGGACATTTGCCCTGTGGCCATTCATGGGCATAAATGTCTTGTGTTTAAGAAATGCCATGACTCTGGGTACCAGTGGCTGTTGCCTGTTATCCTAGCTATTCAAGAGGCTGAGATTTGAGGATGCCTAAACAGGAAAGTCCATGAGACTCTTTTTTTTTTTTTTTTTTGCTGGCCCTGAAGCTTGAACTCAGGGCCTGGGTGCTTTCCCTGAGCCTCTGCACTCAAGGCTAGTGCTCCACCACTTGAGCCATAATGCCACTTCTGGCTTTTTCTGAGTCATTTTATTGGAGATAAGAGTCGCATGGAATTTCCTGCCCACGCTGGCTTTGAACCGTGATCCTCAGATCTCAGTCTCAAGAGTGGCTAGGATTACAGGCATGAGCCACAGGTGCCTGGCTCCATAAGACTCTTATCTCCAATTTAACTACCAAAAAGCACAAAGTGGAGCTCTGGCTTAAGCTATAAAGTGCCAGCCTTCAGTAAAAAAATCTCAAAGTCTGTACCAAACACTGAGTTCAAGCTCCAGTACTGTCACAAAAAGAAAGGAAGAAATTCCATGACTTAAGACTATTGTGTTTAGTGATTTCTTTTCTTCAGGTTAGCTTTTATCTTTGACCACAAGTTGATCGAGTATGAATCTCCCTATTACAGTCACTATTTAATCCCCAATCCTTACATGGAGCCTTGATAAGCAATTGATTAACATTGCTCAATAAACATTTACTGGCTTAATGAATGAGTGAATGAGTAATCAGAACCAGAATATTCTAGTTTCTATGTGTCATTTGAACATCATTTAGCTGCATTAGTAGGTCAGGTTTTAACACATCTCTCAACCCAGTTTGTCAGTATAGACTCTATGACTCTATGGCGAAAACTTTTTGGTTGTCATTTTACACCAGAGTATCTTGTTTACAAAAGAATGTGGATAAAATGTATACACCATAATTAAAAGGAAATTATGGCTGGAACCATTTTTTCCCTAGATTTAGAGTATATGCATGATGTAAAGTTTAGCTCAACCCAGGAGTGGGCACTAAATATAAATATATTTGAAGAATGCCTTGACATTTTGTTTTATTTCAGCAAACTTCAGAAGACCAAGAGGGATATCAGATGGCTTCAAGGAGTGACTGGTGAATGGTTTGAAGAAATTCAAAGAAAGAAGTTTTGCAATGAGACAGATGTTAGCCAGATGTTAAAGCAGCCTCTTACCTATAGGCTAAGGAAGGAGATAGCACAACATGGTAAGAAAAAATAGTTTAAAATGATCTTTTCTTTCCCTTGTGGACAGTGACTCACATGGTTTCCCATTGAACCAGTCCATATTTTAGGACTCTTCTAAGCCACAGAAATTTTACAACATGCTCTAAAAAGAGGGAACTGAATGTGTGTGTGTGTGTGTGTGTGTGTGTGTGTGTGTGTGTGTGTGTGTGTGTGTGTGTGTATGCCCATACCAGGTCTGCTTAAAGCTGGAGCGCTATTGTTGAGTCTTACCTCCATTTCCGGCTTTTTGCTTGTCAATTGGAGATAAAAATCTCTTGGGTTTGTGTGCTAGGGCTGGTTTCAAACCTCAATCCTCAGATCTCAGCCTCCTAAATAGCTAGAATTACAGGTCTGAGCCACTGGTGCCCAGCTTATGAACTGAATATTTACTATAATAATGTCTTGATGACAAAGTATAGGAACCCAAACATGGTTGTCTAATAAACCAGAATATGCATGCTGACTCTGTCTGTGTGAGTCTGTTCAAGTCATTTTGTTCTCTATAAACCTCAATTTTCTCATCTTTGAATGAGTACACTGCCTATCTGACAGAGTGGTTGTAAGAATTAAATAAAGTTATGCAAATAAAAAACCTGGAGCACAGTAACCCCTTAGTGGGATGATGATGGAGGAAGGAGGCAGAAGCAGAGGGGAGGACTGCAAAGAGGAGAAAGTGGGAGAGAGGGAGAGGGGGAGGGAAAGGTGGCAGAGGAGCCACCATCTCTCTGCAACTTTGGCCAACTCCATAAATGATTTCTAACTCTAGGACACTTTATGTCACTGAAATTCACCATGTTTTGTTGGGTGTGTGCTAGTCCCCTGGGACTGGAACTCATGCCCTAGGTAGTGTCCTTGAGCTGTTTTGCTCAAGGCTAGTGCTCTACCACTTGAGCCACAGCTCCACTTCTGGCTTTTTAGTGATTAACTAGAAATAAAAGAGTCTCACAAACTTTCCTGCCCTGGATGGCTTTGAACCCCAGTCCTCAGATCTCAGCCTCCTGAGTAGCTAGGATTTCAGGTGCAAACTACCAGTGCCTAACTACCAATTATTTTAATCTATAAATGAGGGTAGTGAGTTGGAGGCATGGCTCAAGTGGTAGTGCCTACTTAGCAACACTGAAGTCCTGAATTTAAATTCCAGCAGCATAGCAATTGGATATGGGTTGGGGATGTGGCTCAATGGTTACAGCACTTGCCTAACATGGCAGCGCCATTCCAGAGATCCCTTGGTATGAGGATGCTTCCTCCATTTCTAGACTGCATAGAGGGAAAGGGTAGAAACATGAGCAAAGTTTTCATTCTTTGGAGTCTATCTGGAAATATTTTTTAACAATGCAAAAAAAATCCAATTATTTTGGGCAGATTCTGTGGAATTACAAGCATCAAGATCAAAAAACCTACTTAATCAAAAACCATCTGCCCCTTGTCGAATGAGCTTCAGATCATCGTTTGCGTCCCTGTTCTCATTCAGGAAAGCTGGGAGGGAGCCTTTAAAGCTTCAGTGGCTGAGACAGAAAGGGTAAGATGCTTTCAGCTCGGATCATATGACAGCCCCTGAGTTGTTTGACCTCCAACACCTGTAGTTTGCTTGTGATCAGAATGTCTTAAGGTTTGTTCTTAAAGATTTCGGGCCCAATAGTAGCAAAGGAAACCAGGCTTAGCTCCCAAGGGGGCAAAGTTTGTAGGAAAACCCTGCCATGAAATGCAACTTTTAGCGGATTGCAGATGGCCCTGATAGCTGGTGAATAATGGGTTAAATGGTGGGATCGAGGGGCTGGGAATGTGGCTTAGTGGTATATTGCCTTGTCTAGCATGCATGAAGCCCTGGGTTTGATTCCTCAGTACCACATAAACAGAAAACCTGGAAGTGGCAGGGTGGCTTAAGTGGTAGAGTGCTAGCCTTAGCAAAAGAAGCTCAGGGACAGTGCCCAGGCCCTGAATGCAAGCCCCAGGATTGGCAAAAAGTAAAAATAAAAATAAATTTTTAAAAATGTTGAGACCTAGTTAGGTAGGGACAGTTTTTCTCCTGTGCCAAGAGCGTGGTTTGTGCCTTGGCTGAGAAGATATATTTAAATCAAAACTACTCCTTTAGAAAATGTGTGGGAGTCAGGCTAGAAAGACTTCATGACAGGAAAACTGAGCAGAGCATGCGAGTAGAAGGGGAAAAAATAGAATTCTAAAACAGATTAAAAAAAAAAAAAAAAAAAGCATGATGGGTTCCAGAACTATTGACCATAGTCGATTCCATGTGATGGCCCAGCATTTAAAATGTCAGGTGACAGAGGGGGAGCGCAAGACGGATCCTTGGGTTCTGGCTGATTTGCCTGACTGTCTTGATTCATTATGTCATCGGATTGCTTTTGGCCAAACAAGAAAGGCTATGCTGGTGTGCCGTTGAGGTGACTGCTGAATAAATATTTCACCAGAGTCTTCCTGGTTGCAGAGCTCTCCACCCTCTTAAGGTGTTGGCTTGGCTCGTGATGCGTTCTGAGCGCCAGCAAAGCTTGAAGAATGTGCTCAGTTGACTCGTAGGTCACCAGAAGCAGCAAGTAGCTACTGGTGCCGGTGATGAGAAGGCTCCCAGCAGCTCTGGCCTCCGGCCGAGCGGCTGCCCTCCCCTCTCAGGCCGAGAGATGGAAGGTTGTTTTCTTTTTTCGTTTGGGCTTTCACTTGAGGTGCTTTTGGTCTGAGAAAACGCTGCAGAGCTAAGCCAAATGTCCATTTAAGTGATTATCACTACCCACTCTTGCCAGGAAGGACTTCAAATAGGTGAGTGGCTTTTCTTTAAAAAAAAAAAAAAAAGTGTTTGAGACTCTAGCTTAAGAATTTGGTTTGAGACTCTAGTTTAAGACTTTAAGACTTTGGGGATTTAAATCAGAAATATTTCTCTTGAAGAAAAAGGAAATATTCCTAATGGATGGTGTACGTAGTGGGTTTTGATGCAGTTTGTCTTTTAGGTGATTTTCTTTCGGGCAGAGTTTTCTATCTGGACAATCTAACATTACTAAACTTGGGGAATTAGAGGAGGGATTTGTTCATTCTACAAGTTCTTATGTCAAGTTCTGGACAAGTGGAACGAAGAAGATAAAAGATTGAAAATCTCAGTATCATGTGTTTTGATATGAGGCCAAATTAAAAAAAAAGATTTCTTTTTTGGAGAATTAATAAAAAAAAAATCTTGCAGAATTCTGTTTAGCAAATGTCCTTCTTAGATAATCAAAGTGACTTGTGCATTTCTCTTAGACTAAGTATTACCCAATATGCAGAAATAAAACAAATTGCATGCTTTATTGCATTATTTCATTAACCATTTAACAGTTATCAGAAAGAGGTATGTGTTTTACTTTCATCCTAAGTAGAACTAGTTAAAATTTATCTTTACCTTATCATTAATACTGGTAAATATTAATTCTGCGGAATATAGTGAAGGCACTGGTGCTTGCCCTTTTGAGATTCCACAAGATAGAATATAAAAACATGTCGTAAATTTTTTTTTGAGCAATTAGATCTTAAGTTCTAAGTATCTTTCAGGGGGAATTGTATAAAACAACTGGAGTGAGTTGTGTATTGTATCTTCTGAGGGCTTCTTTAACCTCAGTAGGTTAAACATATTTGCCAGTTTTCATGTGCCGCAATACAATGTCAGCCTTCAAACTCACGTGAGGTTCAGGGCTGCTTCTTGCCAGGGGGCCAATGTGGAGGGACGGAAGGAAAACTGGGAGCAGCTGGCAGGTTTCTACCTGCTAAAGCCATCCAGGACTTGACTTTTTCATATTTGGTGTTCAGAGAACCAGTTGTCAGAAAAGCAACTTAAAGGATTTTTCCCCCACATTCATGAATCATCTTAATTCTTTTTAGAGTTGGCAATTTTGTTAAGCATTCTGTATCGCAATGCTAATTTTATATGACTTTATTTTCTAAAGCCCTGGATCTCTATTCCATCCCCTTTAATTTCATTCTACTTTATATAACCATGTCCCATTCCTTTATAAAGTTACACTTAGTGTTCTCAACTCAACAAAGAGACAGTTGGCTATAAAATACAAAAGCCACCAAGAGTTAAACTGTTAATTACTTACAAGGTACACATGATTGAATTAGAGGCATTTATATCTTGCCTGGGTGATTCAGATTTACAGGATCTTGATTTCACTTTCAAAATTGCACTCAGAGGGGAAAAAATAATAATAAAATCAGAGAAAAAGAACCAGCTCCTGTATATAAAAGAGGGTCTTTATTTTTCTTTCTTACCTGAGGAATTTATTTTTTGCTCTCAAACTCAGTGTTTTGTTTCTGTTTGTCTGTTTATTTTAAGATGGCTCCACTCTGTGTAGTCCAGCCCAACTAACTTTGTAGCCTAGGATGGCTTTGAACTCACAATCCCCCTACCTCTGCCTCCAGAGTGCTAGGATTACAGGCATATCCCACTGTGACTGCCTTTGGATTACCAAAGAAATGATACTGGCTAGTGAGTAACCCACCTAAGCAGAAAATTGGGCTTTATCATGTGGCCAAATATAGTTGTTCATTTTAAGGCTTAGCCAATGAGAGTACAGTAACCCCTCCCCCCTCTCAATTTGGGCCTCAACCACAGCCCAAAAAGATAGTCTAATGAGATTAAGAAACTTTGAAAGAGAAGGATTGCACTTACATCACTTTTATTACAATATGTTATTATTATTCTAGTTTATTAGTAATTGGTATCACTTATAAATTAAATGTTATCATAGATGTGTATGTCTAGGAAGAAAAAAAACATAGTTTATACAGATTTTGGTAGTATCAGTGGCTTTAGGCCATCCACTAAGAGTCTTGTCATCATATCTCCTCCCCTAAGGACAAGGGGGTTACTGAATGTAGTATCTTGAAGCTTTGGTTCCCTACTTTAGGTGGACAAGAAGCTGTGGAGAGTTGGGCACCGGTGGCTCACATCTGTAATCCTAGCTACTCAGGAGGCTGAGATCTAAGGACTGAGATTTGAAGCCAGCCCTAGGCAAGAAAGTTTGTGAGACTTTTATCTCCAATAAACCACCAGAAAACCAGAAATGGAGCTATGGCTCAAAGTGATAGAGCACTGGCCTAGAGCAGATGAGCTCAGGGATAATGCTCAGGCCCTGATTTTGAGTTTAAGCCCCACCACCGGCAAAAGAAAAAGAAAGAGAGAGAGAAAGAGAGAAAGAGGAAGGAAGGAAGGAAGGAAGGAAGGAAGGAAGGAAGGAAGGAAGGAAGGAAGGAAGGAAGGAAGGAAGGAAGGAAAAAAAAAAAAAAGAAGCTATTGGGAACACAGTGATTGTAGTTATACAATGACTAAAGTATTTGTCATTTCTGCTTCAAATACCATTTATTTTCTCCCAAACTTACACTGTGCTCTAATGATCCTTTCAGATTTTAATACTATTTGTAACTGACTGCCCTGACCCAAGCTTCAAGGAAAGAAAAAAATGTGAAGTATTTTCTATTGAGGTTTTATTTAATGCTAGTCAATGAATTCAAGAAACGTCTACCTCTACATATGTAGCATGTACCAGTCTCCCATTGCCTCACATCTTTTTTTTGGTCAGTTTTTTGTTATTGTTGTTGCTCCTAAAGCTGTGCAACCAGATGCCTCCAGTACGTTGTGGTGATTTTAGGGATGAAGATTATTTTCCTCATTCCTTCCTTCAAGTGGTCTCAAGGTCTAGGGCCAAGGGAAAGTTCAAGGTTGCTAGTTCAGAGGGCCCATGAAGGATCTGTGAAATTTTTAAAAATTGCTTCTGGGAAAGGGCTTTGCTTTATTTCCACTGTTTTATCTGATGCCATCTTCTCCTGCACCGAACTCTGACAAAAGCATGACAAATCCATAGAAGGGAAGCAAGGCACCCTGGCTATTATCACCCGTGCCCAGTTTTAGCCATACTGGATTTGAACTTAGGGAACCTTTGCTTGCTCTACTACTTGAGCAGCACCCCAAACCCCATGCCAGGAATTTTGACCGTCCTTATCATAGTGGAAATCAGCAAAGCTTCATGGTTCCCAAACTGGAGTGAGCATTGAAATATCCTAAAGAGTGAAAACAATTAAATACTTTATACCTTTCTTCTAATCTGCCATTATTGTACAATTGCTGATGAGATTCTAATAGTGACAGCCAGATCACCCAGGAGCCATGGCTGCCTAGGACAAAATTCAGAACAATCCCCTGGCCCTCCTCCTAGCTCCTCTTCCTCCCTGCCTCCATAGTATTGCTGCTCACCAATGGGCACCACTCCAGGGCTCACAAAAGGAACCAGGGCCCAATTCTGACTTCTCCCTTGGCCTAAATGTCTGAGATTTCTGTGTTTTCAAACTTAGATTCTTTGGTGGAGGTCAGGAGAGAGAAGAGGGAAGAAAGGAGGGAGGGAAGGGGAGAAGGGGGAGAGAGAGGAAAGGAAGGAAGGAAGGAAGGAAGGGAGAGAGGAAGGGAGGGAGGGAGGGAGGAAAAAGCCAAGAAAAAATATAATCTACCTATTAATGTTCCAAAATCCCATCCGACCTTTTTGCTTACATAAGAGAAGTACAGCTGGATGGCCTAGCTGTACACACCCTATGGATGAGGCAAATCTGGGCATGTCTGAGGAGCAGCTGGGTGGCTTCACCAAAACTCCTTGCATCTGAAGGGAAGAAAAGTTTCTTATAGGGACAGGGTGGCAAGCAGCACACATTCCTTCTCACATCACAGTTGTCACTCTAATCTATGTCACAAGGTGTCACCAGGCCTGTGAGGCACAGAAGAGAAAACAGCAATGCTAGTCATGCTGAGGTTGAGACGCACAGTCCCAGCTGTAGCACCAATAATAGGTTTGAAGGGACATAATTAGTGTCCGAGTAACCAGGCAAGACTCCACTGAGATGGGAAAGGCCAGAATGAGTAGATCTGTGCAAGATTTAAAGTCAACACAGAATCATGAGGCTGAAGTGACAGCAGTGAGGGAAGGGAGAAGAAGGCAGATGAACTGTCTTCTTCTCTGCCCCAAAACTAGGTGGACGAAGAAGAACAGCAAGAAGAACAGATGCAGCGGGGAAAAGAATGAGCATTCATTCATTCATTCAACGAAAACTGCAGCAGAATGCCACAAACAGAACAAGGACACGCTGTCCCTGCCTTTCCAGACTCTCCTGGTGTGAGGACCACACAAAATGTAGAGTCATGCACCAGAGTGATGCCAAGTGGAACATATTCTGGAACACACACATAAGGGACATGATCTTAAACGAAGTCCTGACACAGCTCTTGGAGAAAATGACATTTATATGATTCTTCAGTTAGGAAATCCTGGTCCAGGCAAAGAGCTGTGAGGTGACTCACACCTGTAACACTAGCTACTTAGGACAGAGGTCAAGCAAAAACTTCGTGAGACCCCCCCACATCAACCAATAACTAGACACACTGGTCCAGGCCTATCATTGTAGCAATACAGAAAGCATATACAGGAGGATCACAGTCCAGGCTGGCCCAAGCAAAAAGCAAGACACTCTCTCAAAAATAACCAAAGCAGGCTGGGAAGGTGGCTCAGTGGTAGAGTGCTTGCCTTGCATGCATGAGGCCCTGGGTTCGATTCCTCAGCACCACATAAGCAAAAAGAAAAAAGCCGGAAGTGGCACTGTGGCTCAAGTGGTAGAGTGCTAGCCTTGAGCAGAAGAGCTGAGGGACAGCGCCCAGGCCTAGAGTTCAGGCCCCACGACCAGACCCCCCACCCCACAAAAAAAAAAATAACCAAAGCAAGGTTGTCTGGGGACATGGCTCAAGCAATAGAGTACCTGCTGAGTAAACACAAACCTTACCCAAGTTCAAACCCCAGTGCTGCCAAATAAAATATGAAGGGGAAAAAGCAAGAGCTTTTTTTTTTAATGCCACCACTAGGGTAAAGGTAGAGTGACTGGAGATAAAGATGAATTTAAGAAGCATTTCTGAGTTTGAGTGAACAGGACTTGTTGACTGGCTAGAAAAGAGTGGAACATGGAGTCCCTTTGAGCTTCTTTTGCTCAAGGCTAGCACTCTACCACTGGAGCCATAGTGCCATTTCCAGTCTTCTCTGTTTATGTGGTACAGAGGAATGGAACCTAGGGCTTCATGCATGCTAGGCAAGCACTCTACCACTAAGCCACATTCCCATTCTTATCTCTGCCCTGCTGTAGTATATGAGAATTCCTGAATGGTACCTGCAAATGTATGAAAACAAGAGAGAATGATTGAGGGAGAATTAATTTGACAGGTGCAGAGTACGAGCTCCTAAAAGAAGGAGAGAGTGAAGAGATAAAGGGTTTCTGAAGGTGTTCACCAGCAAAAAGTCTTGTGCTATGTTAATATTTTGGATACGCTGCTGCTGGAGAGGTGAAGATCAGAGGATTGTGATTTGAGGGTTGCCCTGGCCAAAAAAAAAGTTAGTGAGAGCTCCTCACCTTTACAAAACAAGCCGGGTTTAGTGGTTCACACCTATAATCTTAGCTACTTGGGAGGCCTAAGTAGAAGGATCGGGGTCTGCAGATGACCTCAGACGAAAATCATAAAAACCTATCTGAAAAAATAAGCAAAAGAAAAGGGGGGGAGAGGTGGTTGCAGGTATGATTCAAGTAGTTGAGCAGCTATTTATCAAATAAAAGTGGTAGGTTCAAAAAAGAGCATTCTACCACTTGAGACACAGTTCCACTTCCAGCTTTTTGGCGGTTAATTGGAGCTAAGTCTCACAGATTTTTCTGCCCAGGCTGGCTTTGAACCATAGTCCTTAGATCTCAGCCTCCTGAGTAGCTAAGAGTTACAGGTATGAGCCACCTGTTCTCAACTCTCCTTTACATTTTACATAGATCTCTCTGCTGGAGGTACGAAGGATAAAGAGAAGATGGAGAAATGGGATACTGGTGAGAGATGGACAGGACAGAGCATCAGTAGGACTTGGGAGAGAATGCAGAAGACAGAAATATCTTTCTATCCCTTGGTACCAGCCAGTCTTCAGGGCCTACCCCAGACTTCAGGTCCTCACTGATGCTCTTGTTCACATGATAGGTGGGAGCTCTTCTCATTAGAAACATGATTCGTTTATGGATACAGAGACGGATCCTCCCAGGGAAATGGAAACATCCCTTCTCAATGAAGTCTGTTATGGTTCATGCAACAAAGCACACGCTCAAACCATGCGCATGCTCAGATGAGCATGCCCCTGACACTCACTGATCATTTGTGCACTTGATGGATGCAATCTAGGCATCTTTTGGTCCTTTAGAAGATGAGGATCTTCCGCCCATTCTCAGAAACCTGAGACATAACTCCAAATCAAGAAAGGGTGAGCTGGTGAGACTAGGAATGTGGGATGTGTTCTCTGGGCTGCCACCCACCAGGGATCTGGAAAGATCCCGCACAATCTGGTGTGTACTTTTGACTCCAGGCAGACAGAGAGATTTTGCCAGATCTCACCCTCCGCTGACATCCCTGAGTCCTTAGCCCCCTGTTCTTTTGCCACCTTCTCCCTACTACTTTTCCTGTGTATCCCCAGGTGCTGGCTCTGTGCCTGTCAGTCTGTTTGATGTGCATCGCCTTGTAGTCCTTAGCAAGTCTGAGCTTGCATTTTCTCATTATGCTTCTAATCTTTCCTATTGGTAAACAGATCTCAAAAAAACCCCACCAAAACCGCATCCTGATCTCAGCCATATTTGCTTCATCCAAAGAACTCAAAATAGCACACAGCATGTCGCAGCACACAAACAAAAAAAATCAATGTATGTGGGAAGGAAGACTAAAATTACAAGCATCCCTCATCCAAAGATCAAAATCCAGAACCTTTGGAGCTACACATAATGCCAAGAGTGGAAAATTCCATACCTGACCTCAAATGATGGTTTATAGGCCAAATGCCGGCAACACTAAAAATTCTGAACAACATTACCTCATATGCCTAAGACATTTGTACAGAATAAATACATTTCATATCTAGACTTGGGTCTACAAATTAGACATATAAATTTGGGTTCTATCCCCAGGATATATCATTAGGGATTTGCATGTATTCTAAGATTAAAAAAATAAAAAGCATACTTACTAAAACAGAAAACATTTCCAGTTTCAAGCATTTTAGATAAGGAATATCCAATCTGATACTATTAACAGAGCTAGTATTTCTGAGCAATACAGAAAAACAATTCTTGATATTAACTTGGTTTCAATCTGGGCTAAATTATAAAACAGTCCATATGAATATCTTTAAAAGATAAAAGCATTTGGTCTCTGTGGTTTTATGCTCAATTTTCATGAACCATGGAGCAGTTAGGAATTTGGGCGAAGGTGGGCCTGATCACTTGTCACTGTTCTAAAGCAATTTTGTTTGTTTGCTTTGATTTTTGCTGTTAGTCCAGGGCCTGGATGCTATTCCTGAGCTTTTTTTTCACTCAAGCTAGAGCTCTACCATTGGAGTCACAGCTCCACTTGCAGCTATTAACTGGAGATAAAAGTTTCACGGGCTTTCCTGCCCAGGCTACTTTGAACCATATCCTCAGATCTCAGCCTCCTGAGTAGCTAGGATTAAAGGCGTGAGCCACCAGCACCAGGCCCTTTCTGCTTGAATTCTGGGCCTGGGCATTGTCCCTGAGCTATTCAGCTCAAGGCAAGCACTATACCATTTGAGTTACAGCGCCATTCGTTTTCTGGTGGTTAATTGGAAACAAAAGTCTCATGGACTTTCCTGCCCAGGGCTGGCTTTGAACCGTGATCCTTAGATCTCAGCCTCCTGAGTAGCTAAGATTACAGGCATGAGCCACCAGTGCTGGGTTCCAAAGCAATTTTTATAGTTCACTTTTTAAATAATTCTCCTACAGATGAAGTCTGGTTTGAACTTAGTTGCTTGTTAAAATAGAAATGAACAGAAACAGAAAATGTCTCCATTTGCAATAAGAAGTCAGTGTTACCATTTATACTTAAGGAAAGTTCTAGACAGCCTGTGCCTGATTCATAGCCCAGCCACTAACTATGTTCCTTGCACCATGGGCTCTACCTCCATCTTCTAGTCTGTAACATAGGAGCAGTCATAATGTCCACCGAAAGGGAGTGAAGTAGCTAAATGAGTCACCACACAGCTAGAAGCTGAGCACAGGACTTGCCATCTAGCAGACCTTGGACAGATGTCTGCATGCTCTTACTGTGTTTGTATACTCTGCTCCAACATAAATTCACTATAAATCGCCCCCCCCACACCCCGCTTTGGCTACCTGAGTGGCAAAGATGGAAACATTGGTTCCAAAGCACCATAGGCGTTTCTGAAATTTGGTCCAACAATACAAAGACACCCAGAAGTATCTTTCCACAACACATCAGAAATATACCTTCCCAAAATACCAGCATGCAAATGATAAATGTGCTATTGATCCTTCCTTCTGGTAAAAGTTATATTCTTCAATGGAATTATTTCTATTTCTTCCAACAGATATGGCGGTGGTGGACGATCTCCGGTGTCTGTGAGGGGAACAACAGAGGTAAGTAGGCAGAAAGCCAAAGGTTAGATTCAGAAATTCAAATGAGCTGGGGGCTGGTGGCTTATGCCTAGAATCCTAGCTAGTCAGGAGGCTGAGATCTGAGGGTTGCGGTTCAAAGCCAGTCTATGCAAGAAAGCCTGTGAGACTCTTTTCTCCAATTAACCACTAGAAAACTAGACACAGTACTCAAAGTAGTAGAGCACTAGCCTTTAGCAAAAGAAACTCAGGAACAACCCCTGGGCCCTGAGTTCAAGCCCCAGGACCAACAAAAAAGAAAAGAAAACAAATTCAGAATGTATGCAATCCCAGGTTGGACAAATAAGATTTCCCCTTGGATTAGCTTTAATTGTACTTTGAAGGCTTAGATTTCTTCTGGAGAACTTCAAGCTTTCCAGCTGGGGTTGCTTTCCAGTTGGCTCTGATCCTGAAAGACTGAGACAGGAGACTGCCAGGAAGAAGTGAGGCCACCCGACTTCCATTTACCCTATGGGTGACATCTGTGATGTTTTCCCAGGTGCCACTCCTCCAAATCCCTAAATTATTGGGTAATGGAACAGGCCAGAGTCAGTCAGTTTTACAAGGTGATGTGGGTCTCAGCAGAGCCCTCTCTGAGTATGATCATCATTTCTATTCAGAGAGGAAAGCGGGAAGCCGTGCCATCAGTGGCTTACTCCTATAATCCTAGTTACTCAAGAAGCTGAAATCTGAAAAACACAGTTCAAAGCAGACTAGGCAGTATAGTTTGCATGACTCTTATCTCCAGTTAACCACCAAAAAGATGGAAGTGGAGGTGTGGCTCAAGGGGTAGAGCACTGGCCCTGAACAAAAAAAAAAAAAAACTAAGTAAAAGTACAAAGCTCTGAGTTCAAATTCCAGGTGACCCCCTCCCCACACACACAAAGTAGGATAGAGAAGATGGTGGAGCTGCCTGTAAGATTGCTTTGTCAATTTCCATTTTTCAGTCCCCAAAGTCCTAGTCCCTCAGCCCAAAGACGGCTGGAAGGGGTCTGTTGGTGCCACAGAGACTCTAGCCAAGATCCAAGGGCATGAACTTGGCAGCCTGGTCGAAATGGCACAGTAAGGAATGTCTGTATTTTTTTCTTGAGAGCTGGATTACATTATTCGATGACCTTCTCAGAAGAGAAGGAAGTTGCCAGTGAAATATTTGTACAAGCAAGAGATTTCAGAAGCATTGAATTTTTGGAGCTAGTCGGAAGCCTGCGGATCATCAAGTTCAGGGTTTCTCTCAAACTCAGTACAAAGCACATTTGGGGGGGGCTGAGCGATCTCTGTGGGGGGTGGGAGGAGGGCTGAATTATGTGGCATTGAGTTATTTGGCAACCATCCCAGCCTCCACTCTACTAGATGTTGGAAGTTCTCCACCCAGTGATGACAAAGATGTCTGCAGATTTTGTTAAGTACTCCCTGAGGAACAAATGCTCTCCAGTTAAAGAATTCTCTCCTTTCAGGAGAGGAATCCCTTCAAAACTAGAGTGAGAACTTACAATCTGAGACACTTACACCTTATCAGGCTGGTACCCCTGAGAACACACCTCTGGGGTCACACTCCCCTGTGTCTCCTTACTGCCTGGCACCAGCTGACACTCAGTAACTGAAGACAGGGTTTTATGGAAGCAGATGAGACCTCTGCAGTAAACCAGACACAGAATACATTCCCAAGCACCTGGAAGCATTGTTTCGTTGACTTTACAAAAGCGTTGGATGCTATCAATGAGCTTAGGTTTCAGCTCCAACAGCTGTTCTGCAGGTTTGGCTGCCCTAGGAAGTCCTCCAAATGTGCTTAAGGTGACTCTCTGACAGACAGAAGGTTTGTTTGTTTAATTATGTCAGCATTGCCAACAATATCAGGAGGGTGAACTGAAGTTGTGTAAAAAAAAAAAGGGGGGGGGGCCTCATTTTACTCAGTCAGAGAATGAAATTGAGATCCTGAAAACAGACATTTTGATCCTGGCCACAGGACTTCTTTCTGACTTGCTGAGTTGTCAGTCCACTCCAGCGGGGGCCTTCAGGACATTCTATCACCAAAGAATAGTCACTGCTAACAGTAAGGACTCACTAGGTATTAGACTCCATTCTGGGTTTTATACAGCTCTGAATCCACAGGAAAAAAAAAAACGAAACTATAGAGATGTTAAGTCATCAAGCTACTAATGGGCAGAGGTAGGATTTCAAATAGTTAGAACTTAGGTTGAAATTTTCAGTGTCTCAGTTTCTGCTGTAATATGTGTGTGTGTGTGTTTCTGTGTGTGTGTATCTGTGTGTCTGTGTATGTATACATGCACCAATACTGGGGCTTAAACTCAGCATCTAGACCCTGTTTTTTAGCTTTTTTGCTCAGTGCTAATGTTTCACCACTTAAGCCACAGCTCTATTTCTGGCTTTTTGGTGATAAATTTGGGATAAGCGTCTCATGGACTTTCATGCCTAAGCTGGCTTTGAACTGAAATCTCAAGATTTCAACTTCCTAAGTAGCTAGAATTATAAGCATGAACCATCAGTGCCCACCTTGTTGAATCTTTGATTTCCTTTGGTTTGTGTATGTAACACAAATCCATTCATAACTGTACAAAGTATTACATCAACCCTGTAGTGGAGAGTGTGGAATATTTAAGGCAAGATTCCTCTTTTCAGAAAGGTTACCTTCTAACTGAAGACATGTCTTAATAAAATAACAGTAAAACCCAACATAGTACAAAGAACAGGACTAGGGATCAGATCTGATGAGTGTAAATAGCCCTTTGCACCACATACTCATGTAATGAATATTCATATGAGAGAAGTCAGTTATTTCCTGAAAAACTGTTTTCTCCTCTGAAATATGGGAATGATTATCCCTCTCAAAACCACAAAATTAGGGTTTATAAGGATTGTGTGAGAGAGGACATACTTTATACTATTAAAAACTGAATAAATGGCTGGGCACTGGTGGTTCACACATGTAATCCTAGCTACTCAGGAGGCTGAGATCTGAGGATCTTGATTCAAAGCCAGCCTTGGCAGGAAAGCTTGTGAGCCTTTTATTTCCAATTAACCACCCAAAAGCCAGAAGTAGAACTGAGGATCAAGTGATAGAGTGCTAGTTCTGAGGAAAAAAGCTCAGGAACAGTGCCCAGCCCCTGAGTTCAAGCCCAGTTCCTGAGTTCAAGCCCTAAGACTGCACATACATACAAAAACAAAACCTGAATAAATAAATAATTAAACTATGAGAAAGGTGACAGCAAACAAATAGATAAAAATGACCCAGAGAAGTCTACAAGGGAATGTTGTTGTGGGTAGAGTATCTTAGATCTCGTATTAATCCATGTCTAACATACTTGCCAGGTATTCTGGATATAAAGGAGAATATTATTCTTTCTCGGTCACTTTAGAGGTTGGTTCTCTTCCAGGGTTCTGATTCACTTGTCTTTGAATCTTTGGTTTCCTATATCAGAGAGGGGCAAGCCTGAAACTTGTGCTAGGAGGGCACAGGTATAAAAATAGAAAAACATAAACCATTTAGAACATGGCATAGTAGATAAAATCTAGAGACATGTAAATCGGCCATTAGTAGCTAGCTAGCTAGCTACTGAGGAGGCTCAGATCTGAGGATCCCAAGTTGAAATCAGCCTGAGCAGGAAAGTCCATGAGACTCTTATCTTTTATTACACACCCAAAAACCATAAGTGCAGGTATGGCTCAAGTGGTAGAGCATCAGCTTTGAGCAAAAAAAAACTAAGGGATAGTGCTCAGGCTCTGATTTTAAGCCAGAAGAGAGTGGAAGAGGGAAGATATAGTATATACATTATATATTACATATATAATATCTCTCTGGACATATATAAATATATATGAAGATATACAGGTCTCTAGAGAGACAGAACCCTAGAAGTGGCACTGTGGCTGAAAGTAGTAGAGTGCTAGCTTTGAGCAAAACAGTCCAAGGACAGTGCCCAGGTCCTGAGTTCAGACAGAGATAGACAGATACAGGGACAGGCATCAGAGACAGAAGACAGAAGAAAGGTGCGTGGCAGGATAAGGCTGAGCAGAAATGGAGTCAATCATAAGTGACAGAGCCAGTTTGACAGAGGAAATGTAAATGGAGTTTTTGGCACAAGAAAGTAATAGTGTGGGTGGAGGTAATTCTCCCAAGTTTGTGGAAACAAATCAAGCTTAAAAGTAGGGCAGTGACTGGGTTTGGTGAAAACATAAACATTGTTAGTTAAAACAAAACAAAAAAAAAAACAAAAACAAAAAAACAAAGGGAAAGCAACTCTTTGTTGGTCTCCCAAATCCTTTAAAACTAATAGTAGTAGTTTAAACAAAGTAAGGTCATGTTTTTAAGGTCTTTTGTAAAAAACTACTAAATTGGGGCTGGGAAGGTGGCTCAGTGGTAGGGTGCTTGCCTTACATGCATGAGGCCTTGGGTTCTATTCCTCAGTACCACATAAGCAGAAAAAGCCAGAAGTGGTGCTGTGGCTCAAGTGATAGAGCGCTAGCCTTGAGCTGAAGAACTCAGGGACAGTGCCCAGGCCCAGAGTTTAGGCCTCACGACTGACCAAAAAAACTACTAAATCAACTCATGGCTATCTGAAAGGCTCACGATTCTAGATAAATTCTGCATAGAAATACAATTTTTCCCCTAAATTCACCAAATTCACAAATGTTAAGATCCGAGTAATATTCAGGTAACTTCTGGGAACATTTCAGAGATGTGGGAGAGGGAAGTAGCAGCATTGGGGTTTGAACTCAGGACCTTGTGCTTGCTGTGCAGGCACTATAACACTTGAGCCACCTCTCCAGCCTATAAAACATGCTCTTGATAGAATCTACAGTGTTTAGAAATCTGAAAACTCAGCCATTGGGGCCTTGGAGACAATACCCCCATCTTCAAGGTGAGTTTCTTTCAGAATTATCAGGGACCATCCCTCCTACAAACTTTTGATAATTCGGTTGCAAGTCTGTAGGCAGCTAGAGGTTCAGGATCTTACCTGAAGCACATGAAATGAAGAGCATTAGTGTACTTGTATATAATACAAAAGAATTCAAAATTCATGATCAGTCTGCGAGTGGCAAAACCAAGAAAACATTAAGTTGAAAAATACATGTTGGGAAAATTGTTTGTTGTCCCTGAACCTGGACAGTTAAGCTTTTGACTTTTTTTAAATGAGTATTTTGGCTGAAGAGGGTCTAGAAATGATATTGTGTGTGTGTGTGTATTAACAATTTCCTTTTGTTTGCATTAAAATCAACAGGAAAAAATACCCAGTTCGCATCTGGAAAATCAGGCAGTTAACAGTGTGTTCGTGCCCAAGCCATCAACCATGAGGGAGGAGAGCAGGCCTCCTCCCTGGGAGGCCTCAAGGCTGGAGAACGAGTTTTTCCAAGGTAAGTCTCCATATCAATCACCTTTGCAACTCAAGGTCAAAAAGGGAAGCAAATAATACAGCCTCACTTCTATTAAAATATGTGCACTGTTGTTGTTTTATTTTTGTTTTTGGAGGTGAAGTGAGGGCCTCACCCTGTAACACAGGCTAGCCTGTGTACCTCAAGCTGCTCTCAAACCACCTTCAACCTGTGGAGTGCTGGGATTACAGGTGTATACCACCATACCCAGCTCAAACTCTGTACTCATGTTTGAAGTTATCTGAAATTTCCTCATCTTGACATGTGCTATTGACACAAACATTGAAAAACCTAATGGTTAAATATAACCCAATCAAATATTCTCAGATCAAGGGCTAGTAAATGTATGAGCTGATAATAATGTTTAATATTAACCTCAGGCAAAAAGGAAATACATCTAGATAGTTTGCTGTTCTCCCTAGACCTTTATTGCTCCTGATCAGGAAAGGCACTGTAATGGGAAATCTACTACTCATCAAACTATTAACTTTGTTGAGTAGATATTGATAAAAACTGAACCAGAGGGCTGGCAATGTGGCTTATTGGTAAAGTGCTTACCTAGCTTGCATGAAGCCCTGGATTTGATTCTTCAGTACCACAGTACCACATAAACAGAAAAAGTCAGAAGTGAGGCTGTGGCTCAAGTGATAGAGTTCTAGCCTTGAGCAAAAGAAGCTTAGGGAGGGCTGGGAAGGTGGCTCAGTGGTAGAGCGCTTGCCTTGCAATGCATGAGGCCCTGGGTTCGATTCCTCAGCACCACATAAGCAAAAAGAAAAAAAAAAAAAGCTGGAAGTGGCGCTGTGACTCAAGTGGTAGAGTGCTAGCCTTGAGCTGAAGAGCTGAGGGACAGCGCCCAGGCCCAAAGTTCAGGCCCCACGACCGGACCCAAAAAAAAAAAGAAGCTTAGGGATAGGGCCCAGGCCCTGAGTTCAAGCCCCAGGACTGACCAAAAAAAAAAAAAAAAAAAGAACCATATTCTAAAGTATCATATACACACATATGTCATTATTCTACAACCATAGTTCCCCTTACATCGGTTATTCAAGGTCAAACTAAGCCTGACCACTGGTCAAGAAAATCAACCAAAAAGTAACAAATACAGCTTGGAGAACTAAATCCAATTTGCAAAGGTAATGAAATCCCTTCCATTTTTTTTGGTGTCTGGCTAGCACGGTCATTGGTGAGAGAACCTTGATTAGACACTAGGTCTCAGGGCACCCTCTGTAAAATGGTCCCTGGAATACAGACAGAGGAAAATCTACTCAAAAGGCACAGAAACTGGGGGACAAAGGGTGAACAAATGCAGTGGTGATACTCACTAGACACTAGGTTGAAAATGAAATATACAACTTGTTGGGGTGGGTGGGAGGGAAACACTGGGAGAAAGCGAAGGAAAGGGTGACACTGTTCAAAAAGAAAAGTGCTCATTACCTGACTTATGTAACTGTAACTCCCCTGTATGGAGGAGGAGGAGGGGAAGGAGGAGAAGGAGGAAAAGGAGGAGGAGGAGCTGGGAAGGTGGCTCAGTGGTAGAGCGCTTGCCTTGCATGCATGAGGCCCTGGGTTCGATTCCTCTGCACCACATAAGCAGAAAAAGCTGGAATTGGTGCTGTGGCTCAAGTGGTAGAGGGCTCACCTTGAGCTGAAGAGCTGAGGGACAATGCCCAGGCCCAGAGTTCAGGCCCCACGACAGACAAAAAAAAGGAGGAGGAGGAGGAGGAGGAGGGGGAGGGGGAGGGGGAGGAAGATGACGAGGCTGGTGGTTGATGCCTGTAATCCTAGCTCCTCAGGAGGCTGAGATTGAGAATCGCAGTTCAAAACCAGCCCAGAGTCTCTGTGAGACTCTTATTACTAATTAACTACCAGTAAACTGGAAGTGGAGCTGTAGCTCCAAATGGAAGAGCACTAGCCTTGAGCAAAAGAGCTCAGAGACGACACCCAGGCCCTGAGTTCAAGCCCCACAACTGACAATGAAAAAAAAAAAAAAAAGCAAAACCTCACCCAACTGAGTGTGCTTATATCCTAGGTGGTAATACTAGAATTTTAGCTGTACTGCTGTTTTCTTAAGGCTACAGCTGAGAATCACATATTGGTTTCAATTTTCTGAGGTAGGTCCAGGTTAAATAGCAACCTTATAACATGAACGAACAGGACAGAAGGACCTACCTTAATATTCCATTTGTCTAGTTACCCAATAGTGGCTCTCTTACTGAAATGCACATTATTCATCTCTTTTGTTACTAGTAGGTGTCAGTATATCTCAGGCACACTAACAAGAATCATACTTAAAATTTGTTGTTGTTTGGGCTGGGAGGTTGGCTCAGTGGTAGAGTGCTTGCCTTGTATGCATGAGGCCCTGGGTTTGATTCCTCAGCACCACATAAGCAGAAAAAGCCAAAGTGGTGCTGTGGCTCAAGTGGTAGAGCACTCGCCTTGAGCTGAAGAGCTGAGGGACGATGCCCAGGCCCAGAGTTCAGGCCCCATGACCGACAAAAAAAAAAAAAATTGTGTTGTTAGAAAAAAAGTAGCTTAATAAGTTTTATAGAAGTTTTATTTTAAGGTTTACCTTTAGAGGCATTATGGAAGGTTTAATTTTTAAGGAAAAGCATAGAAAAGAAACTTGCACTACTGTCTTGTAAAGCCAAACTCAAAAAAATCAAAATGAATGTCATCACATTTATGATAGAATGATAAAAAGTTTCTTGAGAGGGTGTGGGCACTGTCCCTGAGCTCTTTTGCTCAAGGCTAGCACTCTACTACTTTGAGCCAAAGTGCCATTTCTGGTTTTCTGGTGGATAGTTAATTGGAGATAAGAGTCTTGCAGACTTTCCTGCCTGGGCTGGCTTCCAACTGCGATCCTCTTATCTCAACCTCCTGAGTAGCTAGGATTACAGGTGTGAGCCACCAGCACCCAGCTTCTTGAGAGAGTTCAACAACTCAAATTATGATTAAACTATAAAAAAGAATTAATTCATATTCTCCTTTAGTTTTAGATGACTTGGATAGCAAACTGGCTCAGGAGCAATCTACAAGCTCAGCGAATGCCAGCTATGCATCAAGCACGCAGTCCAGCCATTCTTACTCCAGCAGGAACAGACCTAGAGCTATCACAAGAAGACCCCAAAATCGTCATGAAACTTCTAATATGTCCATCTATGACATCTTGAGACCAGGAACTCCTAGAGAAGGTTTTAAAACCTTTTCCCCTAGGACAAAGACAATTTATAATATGTATAGGACAAAGGAACCCAGCAGAGGCTTAGAAGACAGTGTGCAAAAGAATACATTTGGGAGCACTTCTCTGTGTTTTGATAGCAGACAACGATCAGCCTCACCAGCCACGGGGCATTTCACTGCAAGAAGCTTACATTTTCCAACCACAACTGAGAACAGGAATCGATTTGTACCTGCAAGCCACCAGCAGAGCCCAAAGAGGACTCCATTATCATCTATCATATGGAATAGATCAGATTTTTTGAGAGACAGACAGAACCAAGAAGAGTTCTATAGCGCACCGTCACCCATGGAAATTGACCCTGCTGAACAGTGTATGTATCCTCACTGTCTTCAGGAAAATAGGAGACACGAATGGTTCCATTCACAGAATGCTTATCAAAATGCACGTTTAAATGATCCCCTGGATACTCCCATGCATCCTGACATATTTGAGAACTCAGAGAACATGCCATTTTACCATCAGGACAACCCCTTTGCTAGGTCATTCTTTAGCAATGCTTTTAAACAAAGTAGAGAGCACAGATTTGGACAAAGTTCTTTTTGGGGCCAACAGGAAGAACATTATTCCTGTTGGCCTGACTTTCATCAGGGTAGGAAGCCATTCAATTTTTCCAACAGAGACTTTGAAATGTTTCCCTCTGAAGCAAATGTTCATGGCCACAGTGTCCCTCCTCAACACTGGAGGCCATTTTCTCCAGTTTTCAGGAGCCAAGAAAACCCATATCCCTGGCAGTCTGATTTTCAGATGCCACCACTGGAGAACATGGAGCTATCACACACAAGTGAGAACCAATCCACTCCTTATTTTGGCATACCAACTTTTGGCTCCATGTCTGATTTGAGTCATCCCATGACAACTAGTGGGTTGGAATATCAAAAGGGCAGTTGCCCTGAACACATGCAGAGAAACAAAGAACCCTATTCATTTAGAATTGACCAGAATCTAGCACCTTCATTCAGAACTTCCTTCCCCCAGGTTCCTGATGACAAAAGGAATTCTCAGAGTCCCACCTTTCCGAATTTCACTGTCACTCTACAAAATGTCATTCCTAATAAGCCAGACTCCCTTCCAGGAAGATCCCATACAGAAGCTACTGGGACCAACAGCACTTCACTTGATTCCCTGCCTCTGGCTGAAACCCAGCCCAATATCTTGGTCACAGAAATGAATGAGAAAGGCATGAATGAATCTCTTTCCGAAGACAAACAACTAAACCAGACAGACCAGACCAATATGACAGAGATTCCCCCGTCTATTTCACAGACAGTGATCTCAAACCCCTTAACTGATTTTCAAAATCCTCTCTCCCAGGATCCAGTCAAAAATGACAGATTTGGTTTAAATTCACCTAGCAAAGGAAGTTCACGAAAGTCACCCAGAGCCTTTTCCAGGAAAAATGCCTCCCCAATTTGGATATCACAAAGAGATACATCCAATGAACTTAAAGGGATCAAGAAACTTGACTCAGCGGCTTTCCTTCCTTTCCTTCAGCAAAGCACAATGCCACTATCTTTCCCCAGCCCAAGTCACAGTTGCCACAAGGAACTGGCAGTAAGTAAAGGAGACATTTCCAGCACTAGTAAGAATAACCAGCAGTGCTCTGAACCTACTCATAATCAAAACACACAGTCTCCTGAGGAGTCTTCTCTTTTGGATACTGAGGCCAAACAATATCCTCCCACACCTCATTCCACCAGCTGCAGCAAAATGGCTGCCAATAGGCCATGTGACTCTTTGGCTCTATCATCAGGGATAACACCCAATTCCTCACCATCGAATTATTCTTTTCGTGATGCTCGTGTGATTTCTTCTACCACCGTGCTCTCCAGAAGCCCTTCAGACAATGGTCCAGCTCTAGAAGAGAGAGAAGACACAGACAATGCTACCACAAAGCAGAATAGCCAGTTTGCTATAATCAGCCCTTCAGAAACCCCAAAGAGCAATGATGGTCATGTGCCTCTCTGTGAGGATGTGGTTGATTTTGTCAAAGGCCATTCCCGTTCTCCTTTCAGAAATGGAAAGGTAAGACATCGTGTATCCTGTATTGAAAAGTTAAGCCAAACAGCAAGTTGTTCAGTACCCTCCAGTGAAGGCAGTCACCCCACAGAAAACCAAAACAATCCCAAAGCTTCAGAGCTTAACACCATTTATTGCACTTTGCCGAGAAAATCGGCCAGTTTCCTCATCAATGGCAGACAGCCAGAAAGTAAGGTAAGGGCTACATCCATTAGGAATGGGCCACTTCCCTTTCACATAAAAAACACTGTGCCAGATCCGGTGAAGAAATATGAGTCAAGCAGATGTGATTTTCCTGAGTCAGTGAGTGAATGTTCCAAAGTGGTTTCTGATTCCATCACCGTGGCATCCGAAGCCACAGAGAAGATGGCAAAGGTGAGACCCATCAGATCTGCTTCTGTGAGGAAGGGACCACTTCCATTCCTTGTGGGGCGGTCTATGTCATGTCCTTCAGAGAAACCACAAGCCTCCACTGGAAGCGATGAAACAAACAACGAATCAGTCTTAGACACAGACACTGCTTCTGTGACACCAAAGACCAGGGGGAGACTCTTTTCCTCGCTAGAAAGCAAATCATCTATTAGAGATGGTTCTTCCACCCACACACTGCACCCAAAGGAACTCTTTCAAGAATGCACTGAAAAGAATAGGGAGATGGCTGCCACTGGGACAGGGGAGGAAAACCCTTTACCATTTTGTGCAGACATAGCCCCAAAAGAAAACAAGAACACATTACATAAATTTAAAACTACTAGTATGTTTTCTGTTTCTGGGAATGAAGATAATGTAAAATGTCTCGAAGTGGTTTCAATATATTATACTCTACCCAGGAAAGCCAGCAAAAAAGTCTGTAACCTCCTTCAGCAGTATGCACAAAACACGAGTTCGCTTATGGAATCCCTGCAGATGGAGACGGAGGCATCTCCTTGTGCTTTAGGAGAGAGGGTAAAGGATTCTACACAGGAGTGGTCAAGTTCACCTTCCCCAAATGTAAAGATGACAGAAAGCTCTGCTCAGAGTTTGACTGACAACAAACTGCCAGATAAGGGACCCTCTGAACCTACATTAGAAGAAATGGCTCCTGTTTCTCTGCATCAAGGAGAATCTAAGGCCAAAGAGACCTTGCAAGGTGACTTAGTTAAAACACTTCTAGGTGATTTTTTGCAAAGCAGGAAACAAAAAGGGAGAACATTACAAAGGGAAACCCTTCCCATCTCTTTAACACAACAGGACGAAAATACTGCAGCAGAAACACCAGAAAATTCCCAAGAATCCATTCAAGCAGAAAATAGTGGACCCTCTAGTCTGCCAGCTCATTCGGAAGATAATGTTGAAAGTTCCCAAACCAGAGGAGGTTCTGGGGAGTCTGAAGGTAGAGACATAGCCATTATATCTACCCCAAGTACAAGGTGGCCTCTGGAAGCTCACCTGGCCCCAGCCCCGGATGACAGCTCCAGTGAGCCACATCCTGGGGAAATCGGAGGAGAAGCCGGAACAGATCATCCAAAAGTGACTGAGAAAACTCTTGCCGAAAGCCAAACCTTCGCTCTGACTTCAGCATCACAGACACTGCAGTTTGAGGAGACTCACTCAGGTGAACCAGATTCAGGGAAGTCTGAACCTAGAGAATTACCCCAAGGAAACCAGGAGCTCACTCTAACAGAGAGCAGGAAGGCAGAGGGAGAAAGGCAGAAGTTGGACTGGGATCAAATGTCACTCACTAAAGGAAATCATGCAAATGACACCAACTTGGATATCCTAGACAAAGGAGAAGACAGATCCATTAAACATAGATTGGCAGCCATGTCTAAAGCAAACCAAAAATTCCCAAGTAACCATCTCAACCCCAAAAGACATGTAGCTACTATCTTCCCCCAAAGTGGAAGTGAATCTGGCTTTGGTCTTTTATCTCTTGGCAGACTAGAAGACACTGCACTGTCTCCAAGGGCTGCTGTAAAGCCCACAGAAGCTGTGGAAGAAACCGTCCTGAGGGATGAGGGGACAGACATGGAGGTTTCTGAGAACCCTCTTCCGGTTACTGGCATAGCCAGCAGAGAACCTTCTAGTCACTCCTGCCATCAGAAATCTAATGACATTTCACAGCAACCCCAGAGTGAGCTTAAAAATGTCTCTGAATCCCCACCAAAGCATGAGAATTCTAAAGATGTTCCAGTAGCTCAGCTTGCAGAAGAAGAGTCAGGATCCACAGCCAAACTCACATCAACCAGCCTCAGAGAAGCTGACTTCTCTGATTATCAGAGGAGGCTCAGCCCCCCTTTCTCCCTGGAAACTGTGCAGAAATCTTTGATGAACCTCTCCCTGGCTAGTTATCAGCAGCAACATAGGAGGCCTGTGTCTCCAGGATGGGAACCTGAACCACAGCTCTATCGTTCTAAGAGTTTAAAAAGCATCCATGTGCATAGTGACCTACGCACAAGTCAGCCACCCAAAGCTAGGGGGCGTCATTTTTCTGAAAGCACCTCTATTGACAATGCCCTGAGTCCACCGACCTTAGGGAATGACTTCTCTGACCACAGTGGGTACAATCGAAGATTCAAATCTTTCTCTGAATTTCCTTCCTGTGATGAAAATGAAAATTGGGCTTTGTACAGCGACAACAGGACAAAAACAGGTCTCAAGTCCACGTCATCTATCTCTAGACCCATTGATTATGGGATTTTTGGGAAGGAACAACAGTTGGCTTTCTTGGAGAATGTAAAGAGGTCTCTCACCCAAGGAAGATTATGGAAACCAAGTTTTCTCAAAAACCCTGGCTTCCTGAAACATAGTGTAAATAATCCTGCCAACCCATCCCAGACAGACCCCTCAAGCTCCAGTTCACCAGAAGATGGATCATTTCCAATTGAGCCACTCAATATTTACGAAGAAGACCCCGTGGAGTCGGACTGGGACACAGACACCACCACAGATGATGAATACTACCTGGATGAAAAGGACAAAGAGTCAGAACTGTGAGGTGTTAAAAAAAATAACTGCAGGGCTGGGAAGGTGGCTCAGTGGTAGAGCGCATGCCTTGCATGCCAGAGGCCCTGGGTTCGATTCCTCAGCACCATATAAGCAAAAAGAAAAAAGCCGGAAGTGGCGCTGTGGCTCAAGTGGTAGAGCGCTAGCCTTGAGCTGAAGAGCTGAGGGGCAGCGCCCAGGCCCAGAGTTCAGGTCCCATGACCGGACCCCAAAAAAGAAAATAACTGCAGGAGGCATTGCATTTTTTTCCTATTTCAATCAATATTATTTTATATGATCAGGAGCATATCGGCATGGTGCCTTTGCGTTCCTCTCTTAAGAATATCCTCCTTTGGTCTCATTGTGTTGTGAATGCTTAGAGTCCTGTATAATTGATCATGTCCCAGTGTACTTAAGATCTAGCTTTGCCATATCAGAGAAAACAATGCATTGTCTTCTTATATTTGGCTTTTGACCAAGAGCTCTTTAAATCTGTCCACTCTTTTAAACTTCAAACTCTTACCCATTTGAGCTCAAAGAAATAGGTCGTAGAACTTTAAATCAAGTCTGCTGGACCAGTTTAAATATGCAGATTAGGCTGAGATGTAGCTCAGTGACAAAGTGCTTGTACAATCCCCAGTACCAAAAAAGAAAAGACAAAAAAATTTTTTTTGCATAGTAAAGAATACCATTTCCGGGGCTGGGAAGGTGGCATGCCTTGCATGCACAAGGCCCTGGGTTCGATTCCTCAGCACAACATAAGCAGAAAAAGCAGGAAGTGGCGCCATGGCTCAAGTGATAGAGCGCTAACCTTGAGCTGAAGAGCTGAGGAACAGTGCTCAGGCCAAGAGTTCAGGCCCCACAACCAACAACAACAACAAAAAGAATAACATTTCAGGCTCAGTGATAGTGTTTGGCTAGCATGCATGAAGCACTGGGTTTGATTCCTCAGTACCACATAAACAAAAAAAGGCAAAAGTGGCACTGTGGCCCAAGTGGTAGCCTTGAGCAAAAGAAACTCAGTGCCCAGGCCCTGAGTTCAAGCCCTAAGACTAGCACAAAAAAATAACTTTTGAGGCTGGAGGCATGGTTCAGAAGTAAAACATCCACTAAGCAAGCATGAAACCCTGAGTTCAAACCCCAATATTGCCAAAACATAATATTTTATTATTCTTTGCTTAGTGCATGCCTATGCATAGACCTTTTCTCTATTTAACATACATGATGATATGTTTTCTATGTTAAAATTACATAATAGATATTCTGAGTTAATATTTTTATACAAAGAGTCTGATCAACTTGCAAGTCCTATTTCAGTAAGTTTTGTGGGCCCACTACTTTACTACCAAAGGTGGAATGAAGTTAGGGTGTCAGTAAGTTTATGCTCAAACAAAGCAAAGTAAATGAAGGGCAGAATAACAGTTGCTTTGGAGCCCAATCCAGATTGCTCTGAAACCTACTGTCTGAATTCAAAGGTGGTTGGTGGCCAATGATCATTTGCACTATTTGTCATATTTGCTTATTGGTCTGACTCAGGAACCAAGAAAACAAGAAAATTCATAAAAATAGCACCATCTACAGTTTTATACTTTTATAAAACACTTCGTTAAAGAAGTCTAGCAGATTTCTATGTATTCTAACATACAAATTGTTGCTTTTTATTGTTTATTTTTGGTATAGCTATAGTAATTTATGTCACTTTTATATTGATAACAATGTTTTCTAAAGTTATTATTAATAAAATTGTGATTGAACTATTTGTGTAAATAAAATACATCACTAGGGAAACAATACTGTAAGTATGTTGCAAATTCTTTTTTTTTTCTGGGTAAAAGTCTTTTTTTTTTTTAATTTAATTTTATTTTTTTTTGTGAACATACTGTACAGAGGGGTTACAATTACATGGGCAGGATAATGCGTACATTTCTTATCAAGCATTGCAGCCTCCTCCTTTGTTTACCCTTCATATCCCTTCCCTACCTCCCCCCTACCTCCCCACCACCCAATCCTCCCCCCTCCCCCCCAAATTCTTGAACTAGTTAGATGTTAGACTGATATGTTCATATATTTTGTACAGTTAAACTCATTTAAAATAAGATTTGAAACCAGGCACCAGTGGCTCATACCTGTAATCCTAGCTACTCAGGAGGCTGAGATCTGAGGATTGCGGTCCAAGACAGCCCAGGCAGGAAAGTCCTTTAGACTCTTATCTCCAGTAAACCACCAGAAAACTGGAAGTGGCAATGTGGCTCAAGTAGTAGAGCTCAGGGACAGTGCCTCAGCCCAGAGTGCAAGTCCCACGACTGAAAAAAATAAATAAATAAGTTTACCCTTGCATTGTACATGCATTGATGCTAATAACACCTTTACTGCTACTAACAATGGTTAGTGATATGTTAACAAGGGTGATAAAAATCAATAAATAAATGAGAAAGTTAAAGCTATTTTGAAAAGGAGGTAAATATGAGCCCTGAAGGGGACTCTGTGTTTTTTTATATATAGAAAATCAACTCTGTTTTTTTTATATAGAAAATTCAAAACCTTTGTAACCTTAATAGGCAGAATATTAGAGAGGCTGTACAGACACAGACTTGCTTAGTGGTAGTAAGTGGTAAATGTGACAGAATGCCATTTAAATACATAGTGTAAATATGTAAATATCTCACTTTCCATGCAACTTTGTGAATGTATTCCCACCAGGGGCTCTTTGTGACACTCAATGCTTCTGAAAAAACCATAAGCACTTTTTGTTAAATCCCTGTTCTCTTAATGTATTTGTTCCCAGACCCATTCTCTAGATGTGGAATATGTTACAAACTTAAGCTTATGTGGAAATAAACGACTTAAATGGAATGCTGTTTGGTTTGGTTTCTATTCCTGTCCTCCGAGTGATTGCTTTTATGTAGAAAAGCATCAGGAGTACAAGGAAGGGGGCATTTATTCTTCCAGGTGGCTTTGGGTGAGATTTGCCTGTTTCAGACTTGACCAATGAGTAGTTGTATCCTAGGAGGAAATACTCCATATTGTGAGACTGCAATGAGTGCTAATGCTTAAACCCTTGTCTCACAATCTAAAATCTACCCACAAGTTGTAATATATGGAAGGGCAGGGACGGGTTTATATTCTGTACACATTGTAGAATGCATGATGTACATGGGTACTGAATACATGTTACTGGAATACTTAAGGTATTAAGCATTTTATAGGTTTTACACTTGTCCAGCCTTATGTAAGATCTTTTATTAATGACATTGAAAATGAGGCACATCTCCATAGAGAGTTTATTACAAAGAAACCAAGGACAGTCTGAGTGCAATGGCTCACTCCTGTAACTCCAGCCACTTGGGAGGCAGAGATTAAGAAATACATAAATAGAAGAGAAAAAGGCAGGTGTCAGTGGCTCATGTCTGTAATCCTAGCTACTCAGGAGGCTGAGATCTAAGGATCACAATTCAATGCCAATCTGGGCAGATATATCTGAGAGATTCTTAATTTCAATAACTAACAAAAAGTCAGAATTGGAGGAATGGTTCAAGTGGTAGAAAGCCTTGAAAGCAAGAGCAAAAGGTCTTGAGTTCAAGCTCCAGTACCACCTAGAAGAAGAAGGAAGAGGAGAAGGAGGGGGAAGGAAGGAGGAGGAAGAAGGTAGGTTGGTACAGACTAAGTACAGCTAAACAAGAGTGTTCAGATTTAATAATATGACTTTCTTGTTGAGTTCTTAGGGGAAAAATGGGTGTTACCTCAAGTGTTATATAACTTATTAGGTCATATTTTATTATTGCCTGAGATGAGCTCAGATCTTTTCTCTGGGGGGGGGGAAAACAAGTCTGTTTGGAAGATTGTGAACCAATGTGTTCTATAATTTTTTTAAAATGATAGCCTTCCATTTAAGCATTTAAGCGGACTCCAAGAAACAAAATTCATCAATGAACGTAATAGACAAGTAAAGCTACACTTTAGCCCTGCAATTTACCTGATATTTACAACTCGTTCCTGATAATCATCTAAAGTATAAAGAACACTGTGTACAACCTCTGCTTAGCTTTTCTAAACCAGGTCAAGAGCACTGTGGGGAAAAACAAACAAACAATAAAACCAAAAAACCCTAGTAAATCTGACCGAGCAAAAATGCCAGTGTTATAAAGGCTGGAGAGTACCCAGAACCTGGGCCTGACCAGAGCCTGGGCCTGACATGTACTGCAGTCTGCCAATAGGGTGCACAAAGTCTGTTTCCTTTATTTACAGACTCGCCCAGCCGGAGAATCTTTATTTCCTTCAAACAGATTCAATCCAGAAGCTAATAAAAAGAAGAGAAAGTAATTACAAACTGGTTACCCAAGAGTAGCTTTCAGGAGCTCAGTCTCTGCCTACATCCAAGCTTCAAGCACCCAACCGGTTCAGGGAGGCTTGAAACACCTAGTTCAAGGCAAGACCCAGATGCTGCCTTGTGCCGTCCTAAGGCCCAGCTCCCCACACCAAACCCGGGCCAAACTCAGTAAATCCTTGGTCAAAGAGGGGAAGGTGCTAAGGGGCAAGAGGGTGAGCAGAGGGAATCCCAGTCCCGTGCAAAAGGGTGTTGAGTAAAGAAACAAAACCAGGTGATGCCAGAGAGACCACAGAGCTTGTGCCTGGCTGTGAGAGGAGTTGTGGCGGGAGGGGGGGGGGGGGACAGGGAAGGAGGGAGAGGGAGGGAGGGACAGGGAGAGGGAGGCCTGGCCACCGCAACTTGTAAACCCGGTGCGTGTCCAGGCACGCAGGACGTCTCCTCCCATGGCGACAGAGTCCTTCCTGAGCAATCACCACGTGTCTGGGTGCTGGAGGGGTGGGGATATTGCGACGCAGAGGATCAAGGTTCCAGCCCAGCCTGGGCAGGAAAGTCTGTGCAACTCCATCTGCCTGTGGAACGCACAGCCGGCCCCTTCCGTCTCCCCGAATCCGGGCTCCCCACTCCAGTCCTGGGTGGGGCGTCAGTCCTGCCCCGCCCAGGGCGCTGTGCACGGGGAGGGCCGGGGGTGGGGGGAACGCCAGGCCGAGGCCCGCCCCGGTGGGCCGGGATCCAGCCTGACCAGCCCCGGCCCGG